TCTCTCCTATTTGTTCGGACTATTTCTAATTGCATATACTGATATTTTATGTCAGGGTAAAGAAAAATCTTAGAACACATGTTGGAGATGTTGATGCTGGAGCAGTTCCTTGTGGTTTTGGTCGCGCAATCGGAAATAAGGTTTGTTCATCTTTGAGAAGTTTGTTAGTTTTCATGTGTAAAAGTTTCTTAAACATAATATCTTGAATAATCTGCTTTTTGTGACACTGAAGTGGCTGTAAAACTATCAAATCTGACCGCTAGGCATCTTTGAAGGTTCCCTGAAACTGAATGTTTGTGGAATGCTTTGACTTCAAAAGAAGTCTAACTTAGTAGCTTAAAAAATGTATCAAGTTGACACGTTTCGATAATTTTAAACATCAGGGTCATTGTTTGAGATATCTTATGACAATGATGAAGTATTGAAATCTTTTAAGTGTTATCTTTTTACTTTGCTCATTCTATTTTCCGTTTGAGATGTTGGTTAGAAGAGATATTTCAATTGTTGAATGATTTCTTTTAGTCGTAGTATTTGTAATTCGTGTGCTCACCACTTTCCAATATATGACTCGGCTAAAACTGGTCCGACAGGGAGGTGTAGGTTTGAGAATCAGAGTCTATGATAGGATAATATGCTTTGTGAACTGTCACTTGGCTGCACACTTGGAAGCAGTAAATCGTCGTAATGCCGATTTTGACCATATTTATCGAAACATGGTCTTCAACCGGTCATCTAACCTTCTAAATAATGTAGCTGGTATGGTGCCATACCTGTTTTTGTCTTGCTCTCTTGCCTTCTCCACATATTTATTTTGGCTGCTTTACTCTTCTGGCTTGCCGTTGGCCCTCTCTGTTGCAGCTGGTGTCTCAACTGCTGTTCATACACTTCGAGCTACAAATGTAAGTCTTGATGATCAATACAACAGCATTTTTACCTACCGTTTGACCGTCCACTCTGTTTATCTCTTTCTGGTACCTAGGTTGCTGCTGTCAATCCTGAAGAACCAAAACCTGAGTTATCTGATGCAGACATGGTTGTGTTTTTGGGTGATTTCAATTACCGGCTCTTCGGCATATCATATGATGAAGCACGAGACTTTGTTTCTCAGAGATGCTTCGACTGGCTTAGAGAAAAGGATCAGCTTAGGGCTGAGATGAAATCTGGTAAAGTTTTCCAAGGCATGCGTGAGGCACTCATTCGATTCCCTCCTACATACAAGTTTGAAAGACATCGACCCGGCTTAGCAGGTATACAGCTAAGAAAAGAAACAAATCTTCCAACTATTAGTCTTTTGGATCAAGTACACGAAATCTTAATTCATATTTATCAATCTGATCTGTAATTCCCTCAGAAGGTTCATCATGTTGTCTGTGGTTAAACTTGTTAACATACTTAACACACCTGTTCCAGGATATGATGCTGGCGAGAAGAAGCGTATTCCTGCCTGGTGTGACAGAGTAATATATCGTGACACTCGGTCAGCTCCAGTGACTGAAAGTAGTTTAGAATGCCCTGTAGTATCATCTGTTCTATTGTGAGTATGAGCTTTTTGAGAAGTTTTCTGTTTTTTCCTATAAACTTTTTGGTTCTGAAACTCGACGCACTCGTAGGTATGAGGCCGTCATGGAAGTGACCGACAGCGATCACAAACCTGTCAGATGTAAATTCAACATTCAGATTTGTCATGCTGATAGGTCAGTGAGGAGAAGGGAGTTCGGGGACATTATTAAATCTAATGAGAAAGTGAAATCTATTTTTGAAGAGTTATTATACATTCCGGAAACCATTGTCAGCACCAACAATATAGTTCTACAAAACCAGGAGTCGTTTGTTTTATGCATAACCAATAAATGTCTGAAAGATGTGGCTACTTTTAGAATTATCTCCGAAGGTCAACCCCCTGTCAAGGATGAAGGCGAAGTGCGCGATTATCATCCAAGAGGTGCCTTTGGCTTCCCTCGGTGGCTCGAGGTATTGTCTTATGCCTTCTGGTTAAATGTAAATGCTTGCAAATTATTAATGGCCTGAGTACCGTATTTTGGTTTAGGGGAAGAATGAAGAAATTTGGTAACGTAACAGCTTATAGAAATTTGGTTTTGGACTGATCTTCGGTTGTTGAATTTGTTTTGGATCGAATCGATGGATAAGTTACTGACAAAGGATCTTATATTCATGCCTGATAAACACGTTTCTTTATCCGACTTCTAGTTGATTAGTGCATGATTTACAGTCATGAGCTTACCTTAACGACGTTTATTGTTTTTCTGAGTTTCTGCTCTATGACAAAGTTTAAACTAAGTTTAGGACGCTTAACCTCCACATAGCTGGCTATGTGGTTGGGTTGGTCCCCTTCACATCTAAGGCAGCTCCAATGCATTAGGCAGGCTCCTGCTAAGGATTCTTCCCTTTGATATTTCTCTTAGTCTTGTGTTCTTTCTAATTGCAGGTATCACCAGCTGCAGGTATAATTAAACCCGAGCAATCTGTCGAGATAACGGTAAACCATGAAGAATCCCGCTCCCAGGAAGAGTCTGTTGATGGCATTCCACAAAACTGGTGGTGCGAAGACACACGAGACAAGGAAGTTATGCTAACTGTCACTATACAAGGAAGTTGCTCGACACGATCGTTCAGTCACCAAGTCCGCGTGCGCCATTGCTTCTCAAACAAGGCAGCAGCTCCCATCATGGAGTCTAAATCCAACAGTACCAAAAAACCATAAAAGGATTCTTTGATTCTCTGGCAATTTTTATTTTCTCATTTGGTCCATAGCTTCCTATGCTCAAAAAAGTCTTTGAAAATCGGGAATGAAAGAACGATGATACGAGTTAGGAGGTAGCATATTTTCAACATTTCTTAGGAAATCAAAGTTGTGAGAAATCTTATGCAATTTTAGTCAACCAGTATGCATTTTTATGTAAATAGGCTGGCAATTGTTTTAGCCATCTTAGTACAGGTAATGTTATCCACAGCTTATATTTCGGTTCTCAGATTCTTTCCAGTTAAAAGATACTGTAATTTGTAGATCATTTTCTTCACCATTGTACAAAGAGATTCTACATGCATAGAACCGCTTATCTGCATGATACATGAGATAACTTCAATTAATTTTGGCTCAAATAAATGTGATAAGTCATTTTCTAGTACAATAAAAATGAAGAAGATTTTGGACTTTTTTCTTTGATTCTTTCTTTTTTTCTTTCTTTTTTCTGGTATATATGTTTGAGGGAGGAAAATATATATATATATATATATATATTTGGTGTGGAAATTAGTTTCTCATTGAGGTAATGGATTCAATTTCTCGCCCAAGAACGGATAGCAACTGGACAAGGTAATTTAAGCAACTTGGTTAGTTATTCTTTCCGCGGAAAGGGAACAGTATAGATATCTATTGAAAAACTAGACTTTAAGTGGCTTGATGGGAATAACTAAGCTGCCACCTGGAGTTCGCTGCGGGCACAGCTAGGTGGTGCCTTACCAGTTACCACACCACACCAAAGATGAACGTAGAGTTTATGGTGGTACTTACAGATTCTAATCCGTAGAGTTTATGGTTGTACTTACAGATTCTAATCTACTGCATTGAAGATCAGATCGAGCTTAACACCTGACCATTGTAGTCCCATTCATTTGAAATTTTGTTTCAAAAGAAACTCTTTTAGAAATTGGCAAGACTCCAAATGTGTAAAAATTATGGAGAGGGCTTTCTGAACATTAATATTGAATCCATCCCCTGTTTGGAGGGATATTTTTGAATTGAAATGGAGAAGGTAACCCCTCACTATCAAGAGCTAATATTGTCACAATCCTCCCAGTGCTGAAACTAAACACACAAAATGTTCATGAAAATCAGCTGGACACATCTCGGAAAAGATGCAATTATATCAGGAATGAGCAAAATCTGGTGAAGGGGAATTCTGTAGGACACTGCAAAAATGCACAAGAAAGCACACGGGGTATTATACAGAACAAAGCAAGCATTTAACTAAATCATTTCATTTCACATCCAGGAATCCTCATGTTTCTTTCTAGCAAAACACACCACGCAACACAGAGGCTACAGTCCCAACAATCTACATAAAGACAGGTTACAAGCAACACTCACCTCAAAAAGCTAACGGAATTAAAGATTCTAGTCCTTGAAGCTACTTGATAAAAAAAAATGCACCATTGAGATAGGAAACAGTAAAAGGAGGTGAACTTTTCCGATGAAATTTAGGAAAATCAGTTCTAGTAGGAACTATGAGCCAGACCGAGAATCTAACTTTGACTTGGACGAGACACACACATCCAAATCTTTCAAAGAGGATAGGGGAAGGAAGACGAGATGAGTCGAGTCAATGAGGCAGCAACCATGACTGGTCTGTAAGGCAGAGCAAAAGGAGTTCAAGTACTGCACCCTAGAGTCAACTACTAAAAAATGAGCAACACATTCAGAGTAAGGATATCAAGCTTCCTGGTGAGAGATTTTCTTTTTGGGTTCTTTTTGCCTATTTTGTATCTCACACATGCTCAAAGTGTTCCCTATTGTAAAAGAAAAGGGGCAAGGAACAATAACTTGGAGCATGACTACATCAATGAGCTACTCCACAACAAGGTTTCTGCCATGAGGTATTCATTAAAAGAGTACGGAGTTTTTAAAGCTCATGCTCATCAACGCTCATCTAATCAATGTATATAACACAAAAAATTAGTTGGATTTCTATCCAATTTTTCCTTGTTATTTTTCTTGTAATAATATTACATCTAAAAAAGAACCTGTCCGATCGAGAGAGAGAGAGATGTCAGCATGATAATAACATGATGCAAATTCAGATTGTTTATGCTTAACCACCATATCAGTAAATGTCATAGGAAGCACCATGTCTTGATACTGACGGACCAAACAGTAATGTAAAGCAGGTGTTATAGATCAAGAGAAGACATCAATCAACAACCGAGACTGTTTTCAAGAGAGAACATCAATCACATGAGCACAATAAATCAATAGATCTAAATAATCAAACCCAGAGAAATTGTCAAGATCAAATTCCTTACCCCAATTATGAAAAAAAAATACTATCATTCACATCATATTGTAGAAGACAAATGATTTTGACACAAATATTATTCTTTGGTACATATATCATTCCAATACCCATACCCCTCCAACGGTGAAATGCGTGAACATATTTGAAATGGAGAATTAAAAAAGGGCAAAATTCACAAAATTCTAACCATCCAGTAGTACCCTTTGAAGGCCGTCCAAATAGCAGAAATCAAGCAGTGGATAGCTGTGCACCATATCAAGGCAACAGAGCTGAAGGGAAAAATTGCCACAATATTTCAGCCATTAGTATATTGAGAAATCCGGGAAGCCATGTTAGCAACTTGAGTTTGCAATTGAGATGCCCTGACTTTGGCAGCAGTAGCGCGGTGAAAAAACTGTTCCCTTGACAACAACCTCACATTCCTCAAGTACTGATCGAATTGTATCGCCCCATCCTGCACAGCCTTATCCAATGAATATACAACGTCTTCTATTGCCAAATCCGAGGCAGTACACTCCAGCATTTGCTTTGAAAGCACATCGACACATTCAAATGCGTCATCCACTTGGAAATCACTGCTAATCTTACCCTCGTTCTCCCTCAACCAAGCTTCCAAAACATCGGCATTCATCAAAACCATCTGTAGTTTCTGCTCTAAACCCTCCTTCTCATCTTGCATCTCTTTCAAACCTTTGTCTAGCTCCTCCTGCCTCTGTCTCAACACTCCCTGTGCACCAAAAAGACCTTCCATCTCAGCCTCCCTAGTCTTTCTTATCCCCACAATATCGCTATGCACCATCTCCACAAGCTTACTAATAGCATTTCGTTTGAAAACTTCATTGGGATCTTCCGTATGAGGCTGCAGACGCGCGACAGAAGCAACATCATTACCACTACCATAAGGCGACGGCGGGTAAGCCCTCGGCGGAATTCCAGGGCGTGGGAAAGCAGCAGCCCCCATATTTGAAGCAATCGAAGAATTCGCACTATTACGCCCAAAACTAGAACTAGGACTCGGAGAAGGGCTAGGGTTAGGATTCGGCCTCCGTTGAGAATAAAGTGGAGGGTCGCGACCGAACATAACGCTCAAATTACGAACCAATTCAACCAAATTAGAGCTCGGATAAATCCAATTTTGCAAATAAGGGATCGAGACCATACCGGAGGGATTAACATGAGGATGGGAGCGCTTGATGATCATATCCCGAGTTGGGTTCACGTAAACGCAAGGGGGGTGCCTAGGATACGACTCCATGAGCCAAATAACAACCGGAATATTGTAGGTAACGCCTTGGAAGGACATGGGAACGGTACCGTCGGATTGCAGAAGGTTGATGGATCGGCCATCGTTGTGCGTGAAAGTTGCAGTACGAGGGACCAACGACGGGAAGGCGGTGGTGAGGGAGACCAAGTGCTGGCGGATCAGCCACTTGGTGTCTTCAGAATAGGGGAGCGCGGAAGGGCCGCGCTGAGAGAGGACAGAGCTGAGGAACTGCTGGATTATCTGAGGATTCGGCGGCAAGGGATCGGAGTGAGACGGCGACGGTACCATAGCATAGAGATTGACGATTCCAATTTTGGTAACTGTTTGTGATGCTTCGATTGATCTAAAGGATCTGATTGCCGGAAATGGTAGAGAAATGTCGGAGAGCTTCGGGGAATTGGTAATTGGGAATTTTACAATCACAAAGGAAAATGATACGCGAAGACGAAGAGAGAGAGAGAGAGAGAGAAGGCGCGAGTCTTCGTGAGGAAGAAAATGGAAAAAATTAAAAAAATTAAAAAAGAAGAAGAGAAATGAAATGGGTCTTCCTTCAAATTAGGTTAAATCATAAATGGATTTCTTTTAAATAATCAATTTAGTTTCATATTTAATTTTTTTAAAAAGATAACGTACTAACAAATCACATATTTAAATGTTGAAGATTTTATGAATATAAAATTCAGATCAATTAAATTTTAATTTTTTTGAATTTGTCAAAAGATACTAGAATTGTTTAAAAATAATTAACTTAGTTTTTGAATTATTTGAATATTACAATCTTCTTGCTACTTTGGTGACTTTTTTTTTTATAAAAAAATAATTTTATTCAAGTAATTTGAATGAAATCAATTTTAACCTTAACTTTTAATCTTAACCGGTTGACTTATAACCAGTTGAGTAAAAGAAATGGCAGTTCTTTAAAATTTAAAATCTATATTAAAACTAGGCAGGCAGCTGATAAAGATAACATTGAAGGCGCAGGAGAAAGACAATAAGATTATTAGTCACACTAGTTGAGGTGCATCTTTGATTTGGCAAACTACAAACAAACAACAGAGAAGGCCATAGTAACGATGATCAGGCACACGTTTTTACACTTAAAACTAAGGAAATGGTGATGTAACAAGCTGCCTGGGAGCACTGAACAGGTCATTTCCTGCAAAAGGTGAGGTCCAATCGCGCAATCCACCAGAAGGTGACATATCTTTTACACCTCCCCCTCCCTGCACCCTCCTTCCAGAACTATTCCTCAATGGAGACGACTCGCTCAATCGGGAACTCGGGCTATGCAGAGTCCAGTCTATTCTGTTGTAATCGCAATACGGCATCAACCCCCCGATGTTCCAGTCCATCTGTGACAATAACCCAGATGTTTGTACTGGTGAGCCTTGGCTGAGGTTGGAACTTACTCCATAAGAAGGCGGGACTGCAAATGAAGATTGAGTTCCACCACCAGATTTCCACAAACTTTGGGACAAGTGCGACAAAGGCGCATTCTCTTTCGCCCACATAATGTCCAACCCAGACATGAATTGTGGTTGATTATGGATAGCCTGATGGTAGATCTGCTCCAGCTTTCTATGTTCGGAACCAAGGCTCACCATGCTATTGTTGTGCAGCAATTTGTCACTTGAAATGACATTTTTGATGGTTGGAGCATTGTTCGAATACCATGGAGTCGTTCCAGGAAGCATGGAACTGGAGACAGCATTCTGCAACCCATTTACGGATTGAGGCTGCTGCATAAAAACTGGCTCTACTGGTTGCTCTTGTATCTCTCGCCGAAGATTGATTGTCTCACTTTCAGAAACGCTAGTTTGAGCCTCTGCCTTCACATATGAATGATGAACTACAGGCAATGGAGGTGTCGAAGTTGATGAAGAAAGGCCTGATCCTACAGCAGGCCATCTCTTCTCCCCTCCCTTTAGCAGCCTCGGTTGATTTGTCGTCTTTGAAGACTGCTGTATACTTCTATTGCCTGCTTCTAACCATGCTGGTACTGTAATTACAGCACTATTACAGCTAGACTCTCTATCATTTTTGTTCGATTGCATTGCAAAGACAGATGCAGACCCATGCATTTCTTGAGCTCTTGCCATACATTTTGTTTCACCAACTACATCGTGACTTGATTGACTGACAGATTCTTTCTGCTTTTGGTCTCTTAACATACCTTCTGCCTTACCCAGATCACCTCCACAAGCAACCACAGCTCTTTCGACCTCTTGCTTTGAGAATTTGTACCGTGCTTCAAGAGCTGAAATATGAGCTAGTTCACTGCTAATATCAATCTTCAAGTTACCCACACTTGTAGAATTTGCAGTATCCTTGTTACGGGCTTCTTCCTCGTTTCCTTCAAAGAGCCAGGAGACTGATTCCTCTAGCTTACCCTCGTTTAACATCAGTGCCATGGTAGCTCTTTCAGGAGAGAACCCCATAGTAACTAGTTGCTGAGAGAGAGCTTCGAGCTTTCTGGACATTAGATAACCCTTGCATCGTTCATGTAACTCCTGAGCACGTTTCTCTTTCTGTCTCTGGTGTTTCTTCTCATTTTTTAGACGAATCTTCTCCCGCTTTTCATGGTCACATCCAGATGCCCTCTCCTGATGGTTTGAAGAATCAACTGTCTTCTCTTTTGGGTCCTCCGACTCACCAGAGCAGCTACCATTGTTGGAAGACAGATCAAAATCAGATGCTGTACCACGTGGGCTGCTCGAGTGGTCATCTGTATCTTCCATATTCTGGAAGTGACCATTGTCCGAATGCAGCAAAGATGCGGTTAGTGTTGATGATATCTCGACTGTATGAACCAATTCATCAACTGGATTGTGAGCAGTAGTTGCTGCTGAACTCCTGTTTGAATTTTTAGAAGCAGAGTTTTTTGAAGCCTTCAGCTGTTTCTTGGCAGCAGCCCTAGCAGAAGGCTTATCCTTGGAGGCGGACTTGGATTTTGACACCGGCATCTTCCAAGATTAAGTAACTATTGACAAAAGACATTGGGAATCAATCCTTCAGCTAACAATAACCAGTGCAAGACATATAATTACATTTGCAAATTGATTGTATAAATAAGGAAAACAAAGACCTTTTCACATTCATTGTGTTAGAAGAGCCAAAAATATTTCAATCAGTAAGGAATGCAGTCATATTATATGTTAAATAAGAGAATTCAAATGCAACAACTGATGCTCTCAAAGATGTAACCAAGCTAGTTATGCAACCTCTTGGGAATTCTAAGATTCATGAGAGACATGCAATCGCACATATGGCGACTGGAAAGAAAGACGACCTCACCGGCCCCGGGCTGGCTTTTTGGGAAGCCCGTTTTTGCAAGAAAAGTAGAGATAAATGATTATGGCATCTCTCTTTCAATCTAAACGAATTTCACTATGGAAGATTTCGCAGACCCAATTACTAACCTTCAGCATTGAAGGAAATGGGGAGGTGAGAAAAGTAACATTTCGATATGGATAAACCTCACAAACTATTCTTCACTCGTGGATCAAAACTCAGAAACAGAATATTCGATTCAAAAGGAAAAAGGATGAACTCCGAAGCTTATAGTTACTATATTGAGTGTGATGAAACGTGATCAGTTTCAAAATGTACATACAACAAATGACTTACGAATAATGCATGTCATTGACTTAACATCTTTTCCCTGCATCTAAGAAATTCAAATATTTCCTCGACATCCAAACTCCACAACAGTTTTGATAGGTTTTACAAAATAGGGAAAGTGACAAGAATTGCCAACTGCGATTTAAAAATGTTGAAAGTGTGTTTCGCCAGCCAATATATCTTCAAATTAGAACATATTTTCGTAGGTGTGCTTATGGATTTTCCACCAAAAACGAACTCCAAATCCAAGAATGAAGAAATCAGAAACAAAAGAGGAAGAAGACCTAGATCAACAAGGATCAAACAATTGCGGAAACTCGTGTACAAACATAGAAGCGGAGAAACTGAAGACATTAACCAACTGGTCACATTCCAAAATCATACCTCAAATTTTCATTTGAACAGAAACAACAAGAAGAATTCAGGAAAAAAATTGAATCAAACTAACAAACGAAACCATTTCCCTCCAAACCATAACCACAACAGATCCAACAATCCACGTTCACGATCTCCAGCGCAGAGAAACAGAAATTTGTCCAAAACCCCTACCAATGGAACCTAACAAAGAAACCAAAAACCAAACCGCAGCAAGAGATCTCCATTCTTCACTCCAATCCACAAAAACCCCCAACAAAAAAAAAAAAAAAAAAAAGAAAAAGAAAAAAAGAGAAGCACAACCAAGCCCCAAAATCAAGAAAGAAACACCGAATTCATAAGCATCCAAACACGATCGCAGAGAAGCAATGTGAGAAGGAGATGAAAACAGAAGAATCAAACAGAGATCTAGAAACTGACCAGTTAAGAGAATTGAGAGAAGGAGGAAGAGGAAGAGGTTGAGAGATCGAAAAATGGCGATGACGACAACCGCTATGAGGTCGCCTTCGTTGTCCTTTCTCCCTTTTAGAAGCCTCTCGACCTTTCTTTGTCCCTTTCTGTTTTCTTTCCTCTCGTTTACTGTTTTCACGTTCTTCTTCTTCTCTCTCTCTTCTTCTTCTTCTTTCTTTTTCATTTCTTTTTTTTCTTTTTTTTCTTTTTTTTCTTCCCCTCTTTCAATAAAAATAATTAAATAAATAAACCAATTTTCTGGCTCAGTTTTCACACGTGTGAGACACAACGGTGGCGTCTGGATTTAAATGTCGGTTTGACATTCATACATTTTTAATTGCATTTTTTTCTTTTTTTGAAAAATGATGAATCACTAGAATTTATTATTAATTTTTTAAAAAATAATTTTTAAGTTTTTGAAATGTAAATTTTTATATATATGAAAATTGAATTATAAATAAATATTTTAGTAACCCTGCCAACAAAAAAAAAATGATAAAATCTCAAAATTATTTAAAATGTTAAATAAGTTCAGAAAAATATTAAAATAATTTTAGAAAAAAACGTTTATAAAAAGTCAATATGAACCTAAACATTGTATTTTTCTTTTTAGAACATTTTTCATGAAATATATATATAATTATAACACAATAAATTTGGTAAGTAATTACCGATTTAAACATAATTCAATATTTTAAAAAATGGCTATTATATTTTTTTAATCGGAATAACAAATAAAATAAAAAAAATAAAAAATCTTTGGAAGCTTCCGAGTTCGACGGCGGTTTTAGGGGCTGCGAGTTAGGGGGTAAGAATCGCAGCCGACCAATCTTCCCCTTTAATCCGCCGTAGGATGTTCCCCTGCATTGCCACCTAGATCCTCTTTTTCAAATTTTTTAATTCTTTATTATTTTAAAAGTTTTAATTCAATATTTTTAATAGACTTTTAAGCCCTTTTAATTAAATAAAATTAATATTTTGAAAGTTCGAGAGAAAAAAAAAAATGTTGAACTTTCCATCTTTGAAGCAATTGGTTGGCATATCACGTTACTTGGTTTATACTT